CCATAATTTCACAAAAAGTATAAGCTATGTCTGTTTGTAAAGGATCCAGCATAGTACCTGTCCTCTATAATTTCATTGTTTTTTCATCAAAAACAAGTGCTAGAGCTGGAAAAGTTCCTAGAGACCATCTGTCCAACTTCCTCATATTTTAGATGAAGACAGTGAGGCCCAGAAAAGGGAAGTTCACTCAACAGTCATTTACTGAATGTCTGTCATGTGCAAGGAATGATGTATTCATCCAGTGTATCCCTCACTGTCTTCATCTAAAATATGAGTGAGGGATGCAAAGATACACTAGATGCAATCCCAGACTTCTAGAAGCTTTTGGTCTAGTTGGAAAACTGTATATTATGGACGAATACCTATCATACAAGGAAGAACAGAGTAAGTTCAGTATAAAGTGCTAGAGGGGTGCAAAAGGAGGGAAGGGAGAAGCTCTTCTGTAGTCATCAGTGAAGTTATCATAGAAGATGTCATCTGAGCTGGAGCTTGAATGGTTTCATTAGGTAGAGGTGGAGGCTGGGAAGATTCCCTACAGAGGACTTGCACAAAGGTAAAAGGGCAAGTAGTCTAGATTAGTTTGCAGAGAACTGTCAGGAGATAAAGCTGGAAAAGCAGATTGGGGACAGTGGAGGGTCTTAAATAATTCCCTCCCCGCCCCCTTCCCCACCTGGCTGATGCTACTGATCTTACAAAAGCACCTTCTTCATAGGGATGTTTTGGGCAGTAAGTGAATTAATATGCACTAAACACTAAGCCCTGGTGGGTACTAACCAAAAGGTCAGCGGTTCGAATTCACCAGCTGCTCCTTGGAAACCCTATGGGGCAGTTCTACTCTGTCCTGTAGCGTCAATCGATGGCAATGGGTTTGGTTTTTTTTTTGGAAGCACTTACTAAAATGCCTGGCACATAATGAGCTTGAAATCAATGTTCCCTGTTACTATGTCAAAAGTTCTCACCTGTTAAGACCTGTAATCCTCAGAGAAGCTTTCCCTGACCACCCTAAGCAGGTTCCCCCATTATATGATCCTCTATCCCTGCATCCTCTTTCTTTCTTTCATAGCATTTACCATAATATGTAATTATATAGTCATTTATTGTTTGTTGACCCCCTTCCTCTCAGCTATAAGCTCCTTTAGAGGAGGGACTGTATTTGTTTTGTCATTGTCTTTCCAGCAACAAGCACAATGCTTATCAGTAATTGCTAAGCACTGGCTCTTGTTATTATGAGGATGGGGACAATGAAATGGCAACAAAAAGAAAGAACTAAATTCAAAAGACATTGTGAAGAATCAACAAGTTTTGGTAAGAGATTGGATGTGATGAAAAAAGAGAAATCAGGTTTTGAGCCTAGGTGACTAAGCAAATGGTGGCACTTAAGAGGTGGGAGAAGAGTGAGTGAAGGAGTCAAGGAAAAGCCGGAACGGTCAGAGCTGCAGGCTGGTGTAGCACCGCGTGAAGTGGGCAGGGATGGGTTGTGAGATTAAGTCAGTGGTGAAAGCATGGACCATGTCACTATCATCTTTCTATGAGGTTGTGGCTGAGAAAAGTCACTGAATTTCATGCTTAGGAAATAATGGTTGCCCTTTGAGAGAGCTTTCAGTAGCTTGGGGCGGGGGAGGGGTGACAAATGTGAGATTACAAAGGAGAAAGAACTGGACTGTAAGGTCCACCTAGTAGAGTGCCTAATATGTAACAGGCACTCAATAAACTTCTGGTGAATGAATAAATGGATGGTCAGTAAGTAGAAGCACTAAGTGGAAGCAGAGCAGGTAGACGGTTCAGTTCTTGGTGAGAAGACAGAAGAGCCAAAAGAATGGGAAGGAGCTAAAGGAGAGGGAGTGGTTGAAGATGAAAAAAAAAGAAGTCATAATCAATGCAGCAAGATCCCAGAGGAAGTTGAAGGGATTCCGGAAACGAAGCTCTTTCCATAAAACAAACGAAGTTCATATTCACCATAGGTTTGGGCCTAGTCAAATAGTCTCCCTCCAAAGTTGAGCCAGACTAGTGCACCTCTGCTCTTTTAATGAGCACCTTTTATATGACAGATAATTGCGTTAAATGCTGGGGGTATGAAGATGAATAAGACATAGTCTCCCCTCTCAAGGAGGGGTCTAGAGGAGGAGGACATAGATGTAAAGAGATGAAGGCAATAAAATGTTTTAAGTGCAGTGTGGCAAAGCGAGAGGCAGCATGGTTATGCAGTGCTTAAAGTTCACAACTACTGCAGTTAGACAGCCTGTGTTGGGCTTCTAGCTCTACCACTTATTAGCTGTGTGACCTCCGTAACCCTCGATTTCCTCATCTGGAGAATGGCGATAATAAAAGCACCTACCTCACAGGGGTGTTTTTGGAAATGAATTAATAAGCACTGAGCACTTAGTACAATGCCCAGCAAATGAATGGTATTATGTGCCAAAAGTTCCTACAGGGTACAATAGAGCACGAAAGAAAGGAACAGTCTATTCTACCTGTAGGGTAGGGGAGGAGGAGGAGGTGGTGGTTCGGGAAACACAGCTAGAAAGAGGGAAATTCTTGAATTGAGTATTTAAATATGAAGAGGAGTCTTCCAGGTAAGCAAGACGGGGTGACAGCGAGGGCATTTATAAGCAGAAAAAGGAGCATGAGCAAAGACACAGAAGGTTGTGGTGCATTCAAGGAACTCAACGGGGGACACAGCAAAAGATGAGCCAGGAGAGGCCAAGGCCTGATGATGGAAGGGTCATGCTAGGGAGCTTGGACTTTTTCCTCTGGGTAGTAGGCCATCATGGAATGGGTACAGCACTTTAGATAGCCAACTGTCAGCTCTGTGGAGGACTGATTGTAGGGAGTCAGGAAAGCCAGTTAGGATAACATCCTCTTGTACATGCTCTTAACTGGGAGAATGCAGGTCTGAATCCTATTTCTCAAACCACCCACTTTCTAGTTTTTGTAAGTTTGCTAGAAACCTCTGGTTACGTGGTAGGCGAAGGATGGGACATGCAGGTAGTTTTTTCAGTCTAACATGGAAGAAAACACCAATGGGCATAATAATGAGCACAAAGGGAATGGCTTTGCAGATAAAATCAGGTTGGGGCTTCACTGTCAAAGTAGCTGTTCTAAAGCAACTCTCTGGCAAAGCACAATGTATCAACACCCTGTCCACTGGGAAGGAACTGAGATGTGTGTGATCCAGTTCTGCTATTTCTTGGAAGTGATGGGGGAAGAGAGAGGCTTTTGAGGAAATTGGAATTTGACTTCAGAAAGTTATTTGCAATGATAATAAAGTGTCCTGAGTTGCCAAGAAACTGACTGAATAGATAAAAGGATTTGTGGAATCCTAATGGGAAATCCTAGATGGGAACAGGAATGAAGGACAAAACCTGGGGATACTGACACTGAATGAATACTTCCAAGGCCCAAATTGAGTTTATCAGGCATCTAGGATTTGTTTTTTAACTTCAGCACTAATTTATTGGATTACCTTGAGAAAACCAGCAGCTCTCTGAACAGCCCATATCATCTCTATGAGGTTTTCTGATACCTTGGGCTTCCAGTGTTTGGTACCAGGCAGGTATTATTCCCATGGGAAGGGCTACATTGTCCTTTTTAGTACTGGACCTTTCTGCTCAAGCCTGGTGGCCCTTTTCAGTCCCATCGTTTTCTGTTTGGCCTTGGTCTGCTCAGGATACTTTCCCTCTAGTCTCCTCCCTATCCTGCACCTCAACTTCAACCTCAACCTCATTTTCTTCACATCCGTTATTAGCTTCATCCTTAAGGCCTTCAACACTGGGTAAAGACTTTACTTTCATTAACTAATTTCTAGAAGCACTTTCCACTTAAGATAAAATTGGTTACTTGTGTTTGAACAAGTATTTTATTTCATCATGAGTATCATCCTATGAATTTTTTAAGGTTTAATAATACACTTCTTTCTGTTAGAGATGAAGAAATTGAGACGTGATTAGCTGTGCTGTCAGCAGCAGAACTGGGAAGAGAGCCCAGACTTCATTCCTTGCAGGGACAGGGCTCTGTCCATCAGGTCACAGCATGCTTAGTGAGCATAAGGGTAAATCCATCTTGGATGTTTCCAAGCTGCTCAGTATCTTCTCTTGCTGGGGCCTTATTTTCTTCAGCTGTACCTCCTCTAGGAGGGACATCAGCTGGTGAGACCGAAAGTTTCAGCACAGTGTGATGATAGGCCAATTCTTAGATCCCTGTCCACTTAAGAGCTGCATTTCCTTAAACCCTCACTGAGCTCTCTGAAGACTCCCTTTTGTTGGGCTGCCTTCTATCAGTGGAAAGAAAGCACTCTGCAAACTGTAAAGCACAACAAACATGTAAGTGATTATCATCCCTACTGTGGTTCACACCACACATTAGGGATGCACATTCATTCAGTTATCATTCTTGACCTTAATTATGGCAATACTTCCTCAGGTTTCTCAACACAAGTTGCAGTGACATTGGCCATGTCATAAATACCTTCTCTAAGCACTCATCCTCTCTTCAGGGGCCTGCACGGATGACCGCTGCCCTGCTCTACCAGCTGGGGTCCACTCTGGGCCTATGCCACCCTCAGTTTTTCCTGAGCTCTCAATGATTTCGGGGAGCACAGGTAGATGGTAGGCCAGTTTTCTCTTACCGATTTCATTACTCACTTCTCTGCTGTTAACTGGGCCCGTGCTTTTTTTTTTAAAACACACATCTTTGCTGCAGTAGGCATATCCCATCTTGTGTACCTTTTGGAAAAATGTCAGCATCTCACCATCAAGGCTGTGGACCTACCCAGTCTGTGCTATTTTAGGCAGCATTTGGGGGGCTGTGGTGGTAGACCTAAGTATATAGCTGTCACAAGGGATTTATTAATGTCACAGATGTCTGTAACCATCCAGAACTCCTGACTTGGTCAACTGGCCATCACTAAGTAGAGAGCCTTTTGGTCCCAAAGGCTTGGGACTTTTTTCCCATTGCTGTGCACCCACCCTCCCTTCTCAACTACTTCAAGAAGGTCTCTGAGCCACAGTTCATTGCAACTATCGTTTATTAAAAAATATATGTCTCCTCGGAAGGAACACTGGTAAACCAACTAGTGTCATGCTTACTTTTAATCTTTGCTTTTCTTCCCTGGGAGGGGGAGAGGGTTGAGCATCACTCAGAATATATCACTCAGTTAACATCACAGAAATCAATACTCCTTGCTTACCCTCTCCTCACCAGAGTCATCATCAGCCATCACTTTATTCCTCTTTGCCTTCAACCCAGTGTACTGCCCAGGTAAAGCTGCTGCCCTTTCTCTACCCTCTTCTGGGCCCCAAACTTTAGAGTTAGCCTCAATATGCTGGTAGGATAACTGTTAATATATTTCTCAAATTTGGCTGGTAGTGCTTAGGTGTCTTTCACACTGAGTTGTTTGCACTGATCATAACACAGTGGGCTAGGAAACAGTGACTCAACCCTAGGGCCAAGCGTTTCTATTTTCTTCTCCCCTGTGTCATCCCTCCAGCATGGAGGGGAGGGAGGCACATTGGCTTCAAAGGAGCGTAGTGAGGTGGGGTAGGGCCTGAACCACACCTGCTGTGGTCAGAGAAAAACTCCCCTGACCACAATCACTGCCATCAGACGCTAGGAAAAAGCAACAAGGTTTCACATCTCACCAGCAGGTGAATCTTAGCTCTACAGCTCAAATTTACAGCATTAAAGTCTACTTTGTTCTTGAAGAAACAGTAAGCTACCAGATGTCGGTGAGGGGGCTGGGGTAGGGCATATGAAGCAGCTGCAAAAAAAAGGCCCAAATCAAACTACTAATTGCGTGGCTGGCCAAGCCTAGTACTGTTCCGTTGTCCCAGCACAGAACTGAAAGGAAAGTGACTCCCTCTCCCTGTCAGTAGGCCCCATGAAGGAACCTCAGTTGAGGCCTGCATGTCCTTGGCAGGTGAGTGAAGGGACAGCATTGAAATGCTCCTCCTCTCACTCTTTAGCAGCCTACACTTTCCCTTCTGCTGATTAGAAGGCCAAGCCTGGGTCACCTACTATATCACAAGGCCTGGCTCCTTTAGAACATTATAAGCCTTTAGAACATTGTCAAATCGGATTCTACGCATTCACTTAAGTAGGAAAAGTAAAATTTGGAATAACGAAAAGGCTGACACAGTAGCACAACATGGTTTTGGTTTAACAGCAGCTTAAAAATGAACAAAAAGGAAACCTCTCATGCAGACACATCAGGTGGCATAAAACAATAGGCAATTTAATATGGAGCATCATTAGCCATTCTCTCTCTTTCCACACACAGGACTGACTGCACCTCAAGGGCAGCAGCTGCTTTAGGGTCAAGTCTCCAGCCCTCTCGCCCCCAGGCAAAAGCGACTTCCTCTCAGGCCTCAAGCTGACCCCCTCCTAGAGAAAATCTTAGCTCGCAAGAGAATGACCAAATGCAAGTGCCCTTAGTACAGCACTTACTACCATTTTCAATCCCTTCCCAACCAGTTGGGATATAAGATGCCATCTGATTGGAATATGAAAACTAAAACAATTCTTTAATAACATAGTACCATTGATGAAGTCTCCATAAATTTTCTAGTCCAAATGCGTGTGAATATATATATATATATATTATATGAGTGTATAATATATATATATATAATAATTTCTATATATTTTATATAAATTACATATATATATGTATATATATATATATATATATAAATAAGATACTTTCTGTTGCCATTATGTTGCACTGTTCAGAGCTGCAAGACAGCAATACAGATACATAGAAATGCCCCAGGAGCATCTCATCATGTTGTGCATATAGCTCATTTCACAATCCGTGAAGCTGTCCAGAGTCTGTCTTTCCATCAGTCCTCCTCTCTTCTCTTCGCTTCTGCTTGATTTTTAAGAAAACAATGATTCTGATGGACTTGCACCTGTGCTAGCGCTTGGAAAAGGTCCATGCAGGAATGGGCACAGTCACGTGATGAGTGAGATGGCATCATCCCCCCAAAAATAAACTCAAACAAAACAAAAATTAAAAAAAAAAAAGGACTAGAAAACTCAATTTTTTTGACATATCTAAAAAAGGGGACAAGAACAGTAGTCATTTGTTCTCCCCATGGGGACAGGAATGAAGAGGGAGGAGGGAAGAGGGACTTGATTTCTTCTGTTCACAAGCGAATGGTTGGAGGGGATTCTTCAGAGTTTTTCAGGGGATGGGACCCAAATGTAGTGCCCAGACTGGTCCTCAATGATTTGTTTGATTTTGTTATAAATCTCTTCCAGTGAGTCACCCTGTACAATGGCTAAAGTGAAGAGGAAAACAAAATTATTACTGTGGTCCACAGCATACCCCCAAAACCCGGCAATTCTGCCTTTCCCAACAATTCTACAACTCACCCCACAGGCATGAAGAACACACTCATGGAAGTGTGGGTTTGGTTTGACTAGTAGGCTGTCTGTTAGTTTAGGGCGGCAAGGACACCTGGCTACGAGCTCCAAGCCTACGGCTTGAAGTCAACTCTATGAGAGACAGTGAGACTAACTAGCAATGAATAGAAAACTGAGCTTATTTAAAAAGAAAAAAAAAAGTTTACTGAGCACCATGCTGCTCTTGGCCACCACAAGGCTAGCAGCTTATAACTCTAAAGCAGCCTTGCTGAAACACTTGGAAAATCCCAATTGTCCGGAGAAAGAGCTGAAAGCCACAATTTCTGGCAAGGGACAGTGCTCCCTGAGGCCCTCACATCTGCTCTATGTCAGAGTTCAGCCCAGGAAACAAGGACACAGATGCTAACAGTAAAGTGAGCTCCAAAGACCCAAAGTCTGAGAGTACATTGACGAATCCTTTCCCCGGTTAACCTAGCAGCACCACCAGTTAGAATTTACTCAGTACCAACCTGCACATACATGTCACTGTACTTTAAAAGGTAAGGAACATATTACACAGAAGGCTTCTCAAGCTTTTAGGGACTTCTAAAGTAAGTGACAATATAAACCACACACACATGCACCCACGCATGCTGACAGACAACCTGAACACCACACCACAGAATCATCATCGACAAACGTTTATTCAGCACCTAAAACCTGCAAGGCAAAACATCGGATCGGGGGCGGGGGAGACTGGGAGGGAGGGAAACACAGTAATATAAGGAGCCTACAATCTAGTAGGCACAAGGAGACAAAATAAACAAGCTAACAGTACAAGCCAGCATTTGCTGATGGTTGTTCATACTATAAAGTGGCTAAAGCGCTATGGCTGGAGGGAGAGAACTTGAGTACTTTGGAAAGGTTTGCATTCACAAGCTCAGAAGCATCCAGAAACACTGTGCAAGGTACCTAAACTTCTTTGATGTCTGGCTGTTGCCATGGTACCCCAGACTGGGGAGCGGGGAGTCTCACCTGTAAAGTATTCTCCAAACTCCTGCTCCAGTTTCATGGCTTTGTCATAGATCTTATTTGCTTGTTCATATGTCTGCCGTCGGTTCATTTCCCTGCCAGAGAAAGACACAGAAGAAAAGTAGTACCAGACTAGATTCTTTGTTTTGATTAACATAAAAGATTGTTCAAAGCTCCCTGAAAATCCACCTAGTTGCCCTCTCAGAGCAGCAGTGGCCCATGGCTCAACTCCTTCCTCAAGCCTTCCAGGTGCAGAAGCCCAACTGGGAATAAATGCACAGGCACTCAAAACAGGAGGAGCACCAGTGACCAAAGGTGGGTTGCAGACTTTTCTCAGGGCTTCCGTTCAGTCCCACCCCGGCCCACAAGTCACTTTATTCTCCATTTACTTTCCAGGTACCCATCCTAGCTGGGAGTTTCTAAGTCTCAGCAAACACTTACATAAGTGCTTCGATGGACTTGGGCTTGATGAAAATGGCAATGGGGTAAAGTTGTGCTTGCTGCAGCCTCTTGATAGCATTGCCAGAAACATCTAAGATGCAGTGCTTGCCCTGAAAAAGCAGAGACTGTATCAGCCCTACCCAATTCCTGTCCACCCAACCCCAAGCAGATATCCAATGCCATTCCAAATATCCACCAGCGGGGGAGCCCAGGGCCACCCAGTGGCCTAGAAGATCCTACCCTTGAGGTACCCAGGCCCCATATTTTGCTCCTACTAGCTAGAAAGGCCACGTTTGCAGAAAGTTCCCTATTCCCTGGTGGGCAAAGTTCTGGGGTGAGTTGCATGAAGGAGGCAGACACCTTCACCAAGGGGCTGGGACTATGCAGAGTTGGCGTGGCTTTTGTCAGCAGTACCATTTAGTAGCTTCTGTGTTTAAAAGATGAGGATCCAAGTGGGACTTCAGTGTGAGCGTTTCTACTTTCCCTCTGAGGTTTATTTAAGTCAGCAATCTCTTCCTACTTACTCTCTCTGCAACCGCCCGGACTGACTGGATGCTGGTCCCATAGAGATTATCATTGAATTGGCCTGCCTCAATGAACTTGTTGTCCTGAATATCCTTCTCCATTTGTTCTCGGGATACCACAAAGTGATAGTCTTGTCCATCCACCTCATTATCACGCCGAGGTCGGGTAGTATCTGAAAGAAGAAAGGAAATGCTGTGTGGCCCAAGGACAGTGATGTGCCCCAAGCCAAAAAGCTGATTCGTTCCTCTCTTACTTGGGTCACATGGCCATGAGTGGGTAAAAGAAAGCAGTTGGGTAGAAGTTTGTCTTGTTTACTTCTTTTTCAACCTCCAGGTCCCATACACAAGAGGGCTCTTTGCTTTAGCTTAAACTGCACTGGGAATGTGAGGTTTCCTTAGTCAAAGCCTGGCAAAAGGTGCCAAATTTGGTATGCAATTAAATGAACCTAACAAACCATTAATCCAGTCACACCAACATCACTTTGGCTGAGGCTTCACATTTTTCTAATCATACCCAACTATCACCGCTCAAACTTCTCTCCAAGGGAGCATGCAACCAAGCCTAATGTCTCAGTCCTCCCAACCACATCAGCTTTTTGGGAATCTATTATTGCCTAACCTCTTCCACGGTGTTAGATATACCCCTATTCCCGGACAGCCCTACAATCTAATCCCAGGCCCTTTCCATAAAACAGCAAAGCAACAATTTCCCAAGGCATCAATGCCTCACTCCCAAAGCCTTCTTGGACTCTTACGTGGCACACAGGATCCAAATTTATGTGGGAATTCAGAGATCAGATCATCATTGACTCGGTCCTTCATTGGGCCCAGGATGATCACAGGCCTTGCATAGTGAACTGGAGGGGAACAGCATTGAAATAATGAATAGAGAGGCTTCCCACCAGACAGACTGCTCTATCTCAGAATCTGCCTAGAACACAGAGGCCCTGGAGCCATAACTCTGATGGGGTGAGGCATCCACCGTCATTGTCTGACTTCTAAGTAGAATTTAAGGTTTACAAATGCCTGAAAGAGCTTTTATTTTGAGAATATTCAAATCTAAGGCCAAGTCGGAAATCAGGAACATCCCCAGTCTGTTATGGATTGAATTCTGTCACCCAGAAAGATATGTTGAAGTCCTAACCCCTGTACCTGTGAATGTGAGCCTGTTTGGAAATAGGGTTTTTCTTTTGTTATATTAATGAGGGCATACCAGAGTGGGGTGGATTCTAAACCTAATCACTTGTGAGTGGTGTCTTATAAAGGAAAATAAGACACAGAGAGACACACACAGAGGGGGAACCTCTACAAGCCAAGGAATGTCAAGGAATGCCTAGGGTTGCTGACAAGAAGGGACCCTCTCCTAAGGCGAATGCCCTAATTTGGACTTCTAGCCTCCAAAACCATGAGACAATACATTTCTATTCTTTAAAGCCACCCATTTGTGGTGTTTTTATTATGGCAGCACTAGGAAACTAAGACACTGTCCAACAAATTCAGGTAAATCTCTGGATCGAAACCAAGCAGCCACTGAAGGGAAGGACCAGGACCTCTCTTTTAGCAGCAGCTATACCCACTGAACTAGGCCTCTGTCCTCCTGGTAAATCTGTCCTATCCTTTGGAAGGTATCCCTGGAGCAAGCGAAAGTATAGTGAGAAGTGCACACTGAGGGGCCTTCCCTAAAATACTAGGATGAAGTAGAAGGAACCCAGGGACGAGATGTGCAGTGAGTCACGCCTTCCCACTCTCCCAGGGTCTTCCCGCCGCCGCCACAGGAGGCTAGGAGACTAGCACGAAGGCAAGACTCTCAGAAGGGGGCTTACTTTCTTGCCGTGTTACTGGCTCATATGACAAAATAGCATCCTCTTGTCCTTCTGCAACAAAAAAGGGAGACGGGTTAATACTTTATGATCTGCCTCTCTGTGTCTTCATCTCCCTACAACATTCACCACCCCCCACCTCTGCCAGAAAACAGCCCTATCAAGTGCCACTGACAACGGCCCCACGGTCCTTTTGCTTTCCACTGGGTGAGAAAGCACTGCCTCTGGAGCAGGAGCCAGTAGTTCTCTCTTAGCTGAGCAAAGGGACATGACCCAGGAACCATAAAGCCTCCACCAAAAAACTCCCCAATTTCTTAGGAACAGTTCTTTTGTGTGTGTGTGTGTGTGGATATTATTTTCTTTCTTATATACTTTTAAAATGATAAAATGTATTAATAAAAATAGCTTATTTTTAGTAGCTGTTAGTAGCATGGCAAATAAGATCACCTTTGCTAATGATACAAAATATTTTTTACAAATGTCAAAGATACACCATAATGATAACCATGGTATAATTTATAACAGATTTACTTTTGAAATTAATGTGTAGTCATACTGATTCTTACCCACATGTAGTTCTTCAGTTCATACTAGGATATATGTTCTAGTCTGGTATACTGCAATAATATACTGTCCATCCTTTCCTCCTCTAGAATATTATTCAATTAATCCACTCTGCATTTCAGTGGCAGGAAAATGTCCATAAAATATTGTTTGTATTATTGGACAGCCCACCCCACCCTGTGATTCCTCTCTGCTTATCCTCAGTCTGAGCTAAAATGTCCTAAAGCTTTTATAATCTGGCCCTAATCTCTCTATTTATTGTCATCCCTAATTATTGACTAAAGTGAATCTTTGTTACAGTCAAATTCTCCTGCATATCAATGCCTATCAAAGTCTAATACACCTTTGTCAAATCTGTTCCTGGTGCCCCTACTCATAATCCTTTACACTAATATGTATCTTACTTATCATGTATGAATAAACTTCATTTTATTTATTTTTAAAGCAAAAAGAAAGTTTTATTTGGCATATAAGAATAAACTTCATTTCAAATCTTGCAAGAAGGCTTCTCCACCTAATCTGAATTTTTATTATTGTGCCTACATCACACAACCTGCCATGCAGATTTGATATCTTTCATCATTCTTTTATTTTATTGTATGTTGCTTCTCTAAGCAAACAGTAAGTTCTTTGAGAGTATGACGATATCTTATAATTTTCTTTATCCTTGGGTGAATTCTTTATTTAATTCAAAGCAAGGAAAATGGACAAAGACCAATAATTAACAGGATTCAAAAGCTCATGTAGGATTAGGAACAGTTCTTATAGGTAACAGTCAACTGTGTTCAGTTGCTCTCTTGCTCTGGTAAGAATCAAAGGGAAGTTTCAACTGGTCAAGACACACTACCCTGATCCCCTCATCTGCAGGTAGGAAAGTGAGGGCACTCATGCAGATCCCCAAAGCTGCATGCTAACTTTACCCTTTTAAGGGTCTACTGATGCCCCCCCAACAGTGGAAGAAGCACCCAGAAAGTGGCACATGGCTGGGCTAAGGTCCCCAGTACCCTTTGAGAACAATGCTGAGCTCTGCTCTCTCATGGTAGAGTTCCATATAGCCTAGTGGTGATGAGCGTTTCCTGAAACAGTTGCCAACCCACTTGATGCTGGATGCCTGGAGGTCCCAAAGTAGCTGACAGCGGTGCTGGGAAAGGCAGCGGTATCTGCATCAAGCCACAGGATGCTTCTTCTGAGGCTTACTCCTGGACAGATTTTACACTGGCCTCCAGCCACCACAACTACTGAGAGGCCACTGCTCCTCAAGTTCATGAGGTTTAAATTGTGGCTTTTCTGGTCTGGTCATGGGATCTCCAAAGGAAAACTTGGCAATTCTCTGATCATTTAACTCAGCTAAAAGGCAAGGATGTTGTTGTTGTGGTTAGTTGATTCCGATTCATGGTGACCCCTTGTGTGCAGCGTAGAACTGCTCCACAGGGTTTTCAAGGCTGCAACCTCTCAGAAGCAGACCGTCAGATCTGTCTTCCAAGGCGCTTCTGGCTGGGTTTGAAGAGCCAACCTTTCGGCTAGCAGTCAAGCACTTAACCATTAGTGCCACCAAGGAACTCTAAGCCTTAACCCAGCTCCTAGTGCCCTGGAAAGGCATGTTCAGGATAATATCTGACAAAAGCCAGTTTCTTTCGGTCTCTGAACAAATCTATAACGTTGGCAGCACCTACACCCCACAGTGCCCAGGGCAGTAATTTACTCATTGGCAGCTCAACCTTTCCAGGGCCCCAGGATACTTTTAAGTCAGGTCCTGGCCAGAACTACCAGTCTTATACTCTCCTTTAATCCACAAGGCAAACCTTATCCCATATGGAGAATGAACCGGCCACAGCATTTCCAAGATCTTAAAGTGTAGATGGCTAAAAGAAGCACTAGCCTCTGAACAGAAATAGCAGCCATGCAACACTGAAATGAGAATGGCTGGAACAAACGGTGGAGCTATGCAACATGGGAGAAAATGACACACACTTACTGGAACTGCTTTCGCTGTCACTGGTGTTGGATGTCACTCCCTCTGCAAGCCAACAAGAAAGAGACGCCAATTCAGAACACACCACTGAGAGATCACACACAGCACAAAACTCAAATGCTCCGGGAGAGAAACACTGAACTGCCAATCAAATCAGGCAACAGGAGGTATGCCACATCCAGGCTACCAATTTGGAAGCGCAGCTCCAATCCTGAGCCTTTGGCCACCTCATACTCGCCCCCAGAACCCTCTCAGTCTGCCAAGTTCCTCACTTTCTTCAGCAACACACTCTTCATCTGCATCAAAAGAATTGTAGGGGATGGTTTCCAAACCCTACCTCAAAACTGATCACTCAAGCTAACAATAGGAGAGGAAAGACAGTGACAGTAACATAAAGAAGTCCAGAGACCAGGCTGCCCTAGAATTTCCTGCCCAGCCAGAGCCCCTGAAGTACAAAATGTGTGAAGCTTCAGAACCAAGAGGCTAAGCAATGGATGAACTGAGCAGCCACCAGGGAACAATGCTTTGGCCATTTGGTGGAAGCCAACATCCCTCTTGCTGCCACTACCAAGAAGGCAGGTTTGGCTTCAGGGTGGGGGTGAAGTGACGGGATGCTCCTCCAACCACCGTTTAAGACAGACATGTCAAAACAGAGACAACAAACAAACAAGAACACTTGGAGGACAAAACGGCCCTCCTGTTTTAGATCACTGGGATTTGCCCATATCTGAGTGTGGGCAGAGAAAGTGCAAACAAAGGAGCTGGCATTCACAGGAGACACAAGACACAGTTTGGCACAAACAAAGCCCACCCCTCACAAGAAAACAGGCTTATGAAGATGAAACATGGACACACACACTATGGATAGAGACACTGCTTGTTTCAGCCAAGACAATACTGTCCTAGACCGTGATAATGCTGTGGTCCCCCAGGAAGGACTGGTAGAGTTGCCACACATGACTAGTTCCTGAACAATCCTGAGGGTGACGCCCTGAGGAAACTCCTATACTGTCGTACTTTTGTTATTTATTGAAGGAGAATGTATGCTGAAAGAACCCACCTAACATGGCTGCTTCTATGTGCATCTTTGCACACAGCAAGGCCTCATTATCTATGTCCCTTCATTTTCTACTCTAGGTCAGTCAAAGTTTGTCCAAGATAAGGCACTAAAGAGATATGGTCCGTAAATGTCGCTGAGGCTATCATCAGCTCAGCCCCTTAGAGATGCTATGTGGAAGGCGGGCTCATGGCTGTTTGCTCAGGCCCCTGGATCTGCTGGGCCACCCCAGCTGCAGGTTGCCCCCAGTTAGAGAGACGGTAGCAGCCTGAATTCCTAAACCCAATCCTTAAGGGTTGTGTTACTAGAAGAATCCCAACCAGCTGGCACTCCTCACTTCAACAACAGTCTAGAGATTAACTGATTGGTCACCCCTGTAGTAACACTTCTTGTCCACCTCATTTCTAAGGAGGGACACCAAGATATCTCCCTACCCCTTAAAGGTACAAAAGGAAAACACAGACATGAATGATGGGGATTTATTAGGGTGCCAGGGATCCAGAGCAAAAGTGTGACATCAGAGGCACATACACTCCTCCTGCTGTGGTATCAGTTTTCACAAACACCACCCTCCCCTCACCCTTCACCTTCACCCATATCCCCTATTCCCCCACCCCCAGTATTTCCATTCATGCCAGAAATACAGTTAATGGTGCATAACTTTGACTTACTCAGATTCTTTGCTCCATAATAATCGTCACTTAACCCAGGGAAGTCCTGATTTCACAGACAGCAAGGACAGAAAGGGAGGGAGGGAAGAAAAGAATTGGGGAGAAGAGAGGAAACAGAGAAAAAAGACAAGGGGAAGGAAGAATACAGAGCCAGGTGAGCATTAGTGACAGAAGTATGAAATACTATGAAGACCTATAACTATAGTGAGGTTAAGAACTCTGCTACAGAAATAACATCCCGGGTGAGGCAAGATATGCAGACTTCATGCTGCCCAATTTGCTGCTACAGGGCCTTGGAGCAAACTACATTTCTGAGGTGATCTACAGCCTGTAAGCCTGCCAGACAATCCGGTGACATTCCAAGGTTTGGAGCACCACTTTGACTAAATTTGGAGTTGTAGAACCCAGGTCTCTCCTTTGCCCTTGAAATCAGCATTTCCCCTTGTGGGTTCATGAAAGAGCAAACACCTATGTGTGATAGGTAGGCAGACAATTATCACCATCCCAAGGAGCTCTCACCCGATACTGATTCATTCCGTCCCTTAAGGAAAGCTTCATGCAATCTGGGGTGTGGCCTTCAAAGCTGACCTGAGTTGGGTAGCCCCCAGGAGACGAGTTCAGCTTCTGGAGAACAAGCACTAGGCAGTTTCAACTCCGTCATCCAACAGGCACCCTCCCTACACCCCAGCTGGAACAGCAAACACCTCACCAGGCTGGGCTCTGCATGGAGTTTTTTGGACTCATCTGGTGAACTGTAGTGACATCACCTCAGGACTCTGTCTCAGACTGTCTCCTATTGCTCGCGATCAGAACTAACTTCATCTGTTGCCTCTTACTGAGCTACTCAGGATTTAAGAATCATAACCTCCATCTGGATGAGGGCACCCTTGTACCTACCAGGTACCACCCCAAACAGGAATGGCCTACGTTATACCATGAGCATGCACCAAGCAGGCCCACAGAAAACAACATTTCCTATCAGAATTCATCAGTCTCCTGCCAGTCCCAACAGCCCAGAACCCCAAGACCCCTCCATGTAAGATGGAAGAGTCACTGGTAAACGAGAGATGTTTATAAAAGTCACAATGAAACAAACAAGAAAATATTTCACAAGCCCAACCTGATGTTTAAGTTACGGTCAGAGCAGTTAATTTCTGAGGCATAGGGTAGAGTAAGATTTATCACCATTAAATGGGTTCTTAAAGTTAATTTAGCTCAACTTTATGCCCTTTTCTACCAAACCAACTTTGCGTTTCTCAATAAATCTTTATTTGGACCCTTGAGCAACAACCTTTCCATGTCAATTCATTTAAGCAGAAAGGATTTTATTTTGAAAAATGGCTCTGCAATCACTCTAAGATGACAGTAAGTCTGTTAAGAGTTGTGTGGATATCATGTGCACTCATGCACATGCATGTAATTCAAGAAGTACCCCCAACTTTAGGTGGCCAGGGAAGAAAAGGCTCTTCTCTTGACAAAGATGAGTGAAACTACGGGCAAGAAAACACAAGAGGACGAAGCCAGGAGAGCAATACTGAGCCCCTAGACCTTGTTCTCTTTCTAAACCATTTTTCTAACCCTAAAAATCTGAAAACTGTTCATCATCACAACAGTAGAACTCAGTCTGGCACGTCCAACACCAGTGCCAGCAACTTCCTGGTAGGCTGGCCCTTGAACAAGTTCTACCTCAGAGCCTCCAACATTCATTCTGAGTGAGGAGCGGGACAAATGAGACCCAATATCTCCCTGGGCAAACTGATTTCTACCCTGACTCTGTGCAAATAAACAAGTACACACGCACACAAATGCACACATGGGTACACACACAAACTCTCCCAGTCTTCTCATCAGGGAAGGTGCAAATGAGGAAGCGAGGACAGGGCGGTGGATGGTCTGCTCTCTGTACTCTGCTGCTACTTACGTTCCTGTATGCTGCTCTCCTGGGCCATGTTTTCTTTGCTCTTGTAAAATGGAAACTTTCGAGAGAGGCGGAAACTCTTTTTACGTTTCGTTTTGATCGACTGTGAAAGAACATGAAGATGGAGGGGAAGGACAGAAGAAAAAAAAAAACAGAACAATGGATTTTAAAGCATGCAAGAAAAACTAAAATGAAGACAATGGTGAGCTAAATAAAAGACCATCTCTCACAAATGGAGTCTATGAGATTAAATGAATGTTGATGTAAGAGGAAAATTATGTTTACAGAAAAATGTTGTAGGGATGTAAGAGTTTTCTACCTAATTCAGACTCACAGCACTCACTGTTACTTCCTACAGAACAAAAGTCACTGTAGCCTCCTGGACACATGCCCTAAGGTGCCACTGACATACACAGAGTCATCTACTCCATTTCTTTCTTCCCTCTACTGCTCCAGAAGTTCTTTGGCCTGTGAAGCTTATAGAAGAAAAGGGGTGAATGGAGAGATACCTCATGCCTCACTTGGTCTGAAAGGAGGTTGGAGCTCTGGGGCTGGCCTTCCTGGCTGGATGATGAGGTTAGGTTATAGTCAAGATCCCCACAGCTTCAACAGGTGTCTGCAGCCAGACACCCACAAGTAGTGTCATTTAACCCAAGCAAGTCAGCCTTCCAGACAGTCCAACTTCAAGACATCTTCAAGAGCCAGCTAGCCACAGGGAAGGGATACAGACTAGCCATGGACTTTAAAGTGCTCCCTCTCTGCTTTCTGACGAGCGGTCAGTATTCCGATAGGACAGAGCCAGCCCCTTGAAAAGGAGATAATTCTTTTGTGCTCCCCAGTTCTCTTATATATCAACCAGAAGTGCAAGCTTCTTATCCCTCTTCACATACTGACTGACTTCCTTGGGGATCCCCACTTACCCTGTTAGACTCAATCATTCCCGTCCTGGCATGGAACTTCACCGTTTTCAATCGAGCTCTTTCTTTCTTTTCAACCCTGTTTTGGAGTCAAAAAGAAGTCCTATTACTGGTCTTAGCAGTGGGCTGTGGCAAGGCACAGCAGCACTTTTTGACTCATTCAGTCAAAACTATGTCCCGAAACACCAACTCTCTACCAAAAAAGGAATACGACACATACCCTGCTCTCAAGGAACTTATAGTATGATATGAAAAAAGAAGAAGTAAATACCAGGAAGAGGGCAAGAAAGTCCTCTCATAATCATGACAACTCACCTCTTCTTACTGGGGATCACACCAATTTGCTCACTTTCTCCATGTGGAGTCACCAGTCTTGCCTGCCACCACTCATCATCAGAGGCATTAATGACATGTAGAATGTCACCATAAGAGAAGCTGAGCCCCTGGCTTGGCAGGCAGCTGTCCCGAGTCCGGTCATAATCAAACAGGGCCCTGAAACACACGGTGAAAGACGAAGTGATCATCCCAACCCTAAATGCCAGGAAACCAGCACTCTGAATGCCAGGATGGCAGAAGAAGGCCAGTCCAGTCAGCACCAGACACAGCGGCCTAACAGCAGACCAGAAGGAATTTTCTAGGAGACTGTATCCTTCCTTCACTTCCAAAGTTGTAAATATGTCCCCCCCTTTCAAAAAAACATCCCAGTGGCAGTTCAAACCTACCCAGAGTGCCTTGGAAGACAGGCCTGGCGATCTGCTTTTGAAAGATCCCGGCCTTGAAAACCCTATGGAGATGTTCTACTCTGCACACATGGGGTTGCCATAAGTAAGCATGAACTTGAGGGCAACTGACAAAACATAAGCTAAGTAAAAACAAAATAAACACAGATCAAAGTCAACAAGAATGACAGCAGTTACCACTGCACACTGGGAATGGTACTGGTAGCACTGTCTGGTTTTTTTAACCACGAGCAGGTGTTACTTTGACAATTAAAAAAAAAGCAAGTAAATTAAAAAGAAAGTGGGAAATAGATATACAAAGCACCTGGTTTGAGTCATTTCCTTCAGATGAGGAACGTGTTTGGCTCTAAGTCCTCTGGCAAACAAGGCAAAAAGGAAGTTGTAAAATTCCAATTGCCCAATAAAAAGTGGTACCCAAGTCTGTCTGGATTTTGTCTGATGAATTTATGAATGATGAATGAATGAGGACTACTGAACAACAGAATGGACAATACTTTTTTAAACTATGATTTTGTTAAAGACACAGAAGCATAACATTTGAGTTTGAAATCCTGAACTATAATTTCAACTTGTGATACACTATGAAATAAAAGCCAAAGAGAAAACACACTTAGTAAAATTACCCATGTTGTTGTTGTGTGCCATCGAGCTGATTCTCACTCATAGCAACCCTACAGGACAAAGAAGAACTGCCCCATAGGGTTTTCTAGGCTGTAATCTTTATGGGAGCAGATCGCCAGGTCTTTTCTCCAGCAGAGCCACTGGTGGGTTCGAACCGCTGACCCTTCAATTAGCAGCGAGCGCTTAACCACTGTGCCACTAGGGTTCCTTAAATTACCCATGTGTGGGGTTATATCATAGTATTTTCAGTGAGGACTCTAAAAGATGAAGTAACAAGAGTTTCCTTTTCTATCAATCAGAACTGCAAGTGGGAGAGCCTTGCAGAACACTGCAGAACATGGGAGCCCTAGAGGTCATCTCATCCAACTGCCTATCTAATAAAAGAGATTTCTTAGACACTCTCTAAAGTTCTTTCCAGGTCAAGCATTTAATGAGTCTGGGTCTTTCCCAGGTCTTCTCTACCAGGCTAAACACTTATAATTCCTTCAACTCTTCCTTCCTTCATCATGATTTTGACTTGTTTTTCTCTAAATCCATTCCATTTTGCCTCTTTTCCTGCTGCAATATTTAGCTAAGAGCTAGAAAAGTCCCTCACAGATGATGAAAACTAGGCCTAGAGATGCAGAAGGCCTCGTCTAGAGTATGATGGTGGGCAGCTCTCAGACCAGGGCTCTTCAATTTCAGAAAAATTTGATGAGGTCTAAGTCACAGTCAAGCTATATTTTACGAAAAAAATAAAGAGAAAGGAAAGAGGAAAACAAGGCTAACTCTCTACCTGTCTGTGTCCAGAAAATACGATTTTGCCATTATTTATTTACTGAGCCTACTTTGTGTTAGATATTATGGGAGATACAAAAGTAAAATAAGTCTCTGCTTTTGTAGAGCTTGCTATCTGACAGAAGGTATATTATGCTGTAGCAAGAGTGTCAAAAGCAGGACAAACCAAAGTTGAAAAGTATTCAGAGTACAGATTACATCTGGTCTCAGAAAGTTACAACCTTGAGTTTTGAATTCAATTAAGGTTCAGGATTTCAAAAGGTAGTGATGAGGAGAGGCCCTTCCAGCTAGAAAGAACAGTGTATGCAAAGGCTTGGAGGCGAGAGGAACACGGTGTGTTCAGGGATCGGTAGAGCGTCCACCTGTGGCTGGGGCAGCAAAGGGCACTCAGGAGAGTGGCAGGTTGGGGCCTGACTGTAGACAGCCTGATCTATCCAGTTAAGGTCTGGCATTTATTTAGTAGGCCCCGCGTGACCAACTTAATTGCCTCATCTTTTTTATCATAACAGTGCTAAACTTTCATGTGGAAACTAACTCTGTGAAGCAGAACAGGCCTGAGTATTAAAGTCAAACAGCCTTTCAAATGACACATGTAGTCAAAAACCAGTATGTAAATAAGTACAAAAATTTTCACTACCTACTTATGATATTTGAGAAGCATGCTAAAATATGGCCATCTAGCAATGGCAATCTCTCTTAGGAACAGCCAGAAATCCTAATGAAGTGACAGGGTTTGGCCCCTTGTTACAAATGCCTCGGGTTAGGCCTGGTAGGACGATGAAGGAGCACCTTTCTCCACAACACTTACTTATCCTTTCCCCTGGTCCCCTTTTTATCCCTAGGACAGGCACTAGAGAGAGCCAAGGTAGATGCTGCCCCTTTGGAATCAGAGCGAACCCCTGTCCCAGGACCAAAATCCTATAGCATGCAAGGCCCAGATGACACAGCACCCAACTACTTCAACCTCTGATTCAAAAGGAGAGTGGGCAGAGAAAAAAGAAAGCAAAACCTATTTGTCTCTAGATGCTCAAGAAATACCATAATTAACCAGTCTTCTACCCTGATGGTCCTACCCCAAATATATTACATATATATTTATATTATATACATTAGATTATATATTATAGAATATATAGAATATATATATTTTTACATACACATACACATATATCAGCTTGTCTGACAATATGGTGTTGGGAGACTAAAAGCCTTAGAAACCCCTTTATACTTTCTAGGTCTTGATAAAAAGAATTTCATGTCATGAGAGAAAAAAGCCTATGGAATATTAACATCCTCAGCCTAAAACCAGTGATAGGTATACATGAAAGAAGATTATTTCTCCACCCTGAATATGCTCCTCCTTGGTGATGGCCATACACCTCCATGAAGCAAGGGTGATCTAGACCCTGGGTTTTCCTGCAACTTCTCAAATATGGTAGCCAGGCCAGAAAAAGGCTGAACTATTTTAAGAGCAAGGTAAGGAGGGTGGCCCAGGGAAAATCTGAAATATAAAAACAAAGTGAAAGTACACACAAAGAAACCTTCTGAAGCTGCTCTGAATCACACCCCCACACCGAAAAGCAGACACACATTTCCTAGGGTCTGTAGATTGAGAGTTCCCAAGCCAATCTCCAGCACTCCGGGTGGAAATGCCATTGCCTGTCTTCCTAAGGAGAAAGTGTTTCCAAGAGTTTTGTTTAACTGCTGACCTTTAAAATATTACCCACTAAGAGCTGCATGCGCCCACCCACAGGGACAATGCACGTGCTTCCGAGGCCTTTGCCCAATCCTCCTTTCAGCTATGACCTCTCTGCCTGATGGGAAGGCAAGGAATATAATCAACTCAAAGTAAACAGATTACTAGGCAAAAGTCTTGCAGCTCAGATCCAAAGCTGGAGGTCTGGGTCTAAAAACTGCAGAGAAATCGTAAGCATCTGGCATAGCCACTGTGGTATCTTTAGCGAACCAAACCCAAAACCCATTGCCATTGAGTCGATTCCCACTCACAGCGACCCTATAGGACAGAGGAGAACTGCTCCACAGGGTTTCCAAGGCTGTAATCTTTATGGAAGCAGACTGCCGCATCTTTCTCCCGCAGAGCAGCTGGCGGGTTCAAACACTGACCTTTCGGTTAGCAGCCAAGCACTTAACCACTGCACCACCAGAGCTCCTTTGTATCCACTGAACTCACCTAGTATTTTCCCCACCTCTCTACCTGTAGCTCAAGCCATCTGTCTAGCCTGGAATGTTCTGCATCTCCTGTCATCCCCCTCAGTAAATGCTGAAGCCCAGCCCAAGTCCTTCTCTTCTCTGGGACATCTCACACTCCAAATTTCCTTCTAAATTCATATACTTGGCAGTGACCCTTTTTTTATATTTCCTATTTATTGCTATTTAACTCTTGGGCAGTTTTTTTTTTTTTTTAACCTTTCACATTCTATTGCTACAGTGAAAACCCTGTGAGGACTGAGACCATGTTTTATGCTCTGTGTGGGGTTATGAGCATTTGCGAGCGATGGATGAGATCAGGCTATCAGGGAGGGTCCACGGCATGGCCTCCCAGGATACCAGTTACTATCTGTCAGAGTGTTCTACCACTTTATTTCTCTCCCACAACAGTTGGGGTCTAACAAACACATTACTTTTTTCCTTTGGCCCAAAAGTATTGGATAAAATGCACATATTATTGGAAAATGGAGTGGCCCACCCTTACTTGGTCCATATAAAGCATGCACAGAGAGCTATAAAGCAGCAGTCATTCAGCAGTCCCTGACCTTAATGAGAGAACTGAAATTTCTAGCAGCTTCTGAAGAGCAGCCTAAAAGCCCAAACCTGAGTACTCAGGTAGACTCAAGATGGGTCATCACAAGAGGACTGAGTGCTGCTGGAAGCAATTCAGGCCTCCCTGGCACACTTTGAAGAAGCGTACATGGAGAGCAGGTAAGGGCACTTTTCTCCTTAGTCTACCTCAAAGTTTCAGGTCTTAGAGGGCCATTATGAAGTTAGAGAGGCATTCAAGGACCAATCAACCCACAATGTGTGAATATTTAGAGTTCACAGTACCTGCAGATTACTTGATCAGATGGGGGAATTATAAGTACAGGTCCAGGACTGGTGTTTGGGGTCTATGATCTAGGAACAGGCAGCTCCACGAGAAGTCACAGGAACACTTACATAAATTGTTTTTTTTTAATGCTTACTATCATCACCCCTAAATTCTGTCAGATAAGTGAAGCCTGCCAATATTGCCTCCTTGGCCTCTTAATCCACTATTGAAACTCATTAATGAACAAAGACAGGCTCCCCCAAGCACCACCCTGGGCTAAGCACATAAGTAGTTGCACAATTAATGTC